TTAATCAATTCAGTTTAACAGTAAGTATTAATAAAATAAATACATACAAACATTATGTTAGCTATTGCACATCATTAAATTTATAAATAGACGTACTTTAATTAAGTTATTAATTATTTAACAAATCCTTACGATTAAATGCATTAAAATTGAATAATTAATATACTAATAATTATAAACTACTTATTTACACACTTGCTATTTCTCGAAAGTTTTGTGAATTTAAATATTTTAATTATAATTACATACATAATTACATTTGTTAAAATTTAGTAGTTATTCGTGTTATGGTACGAAGCCGAAATAAGAATACAGTATAAAATTGTATTCTTCCACTTCCTGAAAAATTCACATAGATTAAATAAATTATGGATTTAAAATTATAACAAATAAAAGAAATATTCATAAAAGAATGTCAACAATTTGGTTGCATCTTATTTTAGTATTTTCCATTACTTATTAATTTGATGAATTATTACCGTCATATCGCGAATAGAAGCTCAATTCAGAAAAATGAGCAATTTGTGCAATTTTTGGCAACTTTTTTCTTCCATTACCAAAGATGTGAACAAAACTAAGATTTCATCTAATAATTTTTTTATTTAAAACAATGTTTTTTTTTTTTTTTTAAAGAATAATAGCATCTTTAAATAAAGAATAAATGCTGTAAATATTCTCTATCAGTTTTCCCACAAATAAATATCAATTTTTTTTTTTAAAAAAATTAACAATGAATACTTTTTGTTATATTATTATTATAATTAATAGAAATTATTTTTTTTTCATGAATTGAAAGGAGGTTGATAAGAAATATTCTGAAATTCGCAATATCACAGAAAATTTTTAAATTGTTCGTTAAAAAAAATCAGAACCACCCTAGACAATCGATTTTAGGCAGATACCTTTAATATAGAAGAAACAAGTTTATTCATACTGATTTCAGTGACTGCGGTAGACTAGTGGTCAAGGTCAAGGAGCTGGGATGTCATGAGTTCGAGTCAAGAACCGTTGAAGACTTGCTGTGCAGAAGGGAACGATGTACGTCACATCTGTCGAGGCTCAAACTTCCTCCCATTGGTGGGGTGTGGTAGTTCGGAGAGGGGTATGCCAGCTTAGGGGCTGTCCTCGTCAATTGACCATGAAACAAAATTGCGAGGTCCGTCGCTATAAGCCCTCGAGTAGCTGAATAGAGCGACGTTAATGTTCACTCGCTAGCTGAATGCATATGATCATCACGCAATGAATTTTTCCCTTAGAGCATAAACATAATTCGACGATCACTTACTGTATATGAATATATAACTTATAACTCAGTGACGCAACAACCCATGAGGACCAAGGCCTACTGTGCCTAACTCAGTATACATGACCTTGGGACCTGAGGTGCATGAGCAGATGTTCCGGTCAGAGAGTCAGTCTGACGCGAAACCCCCAGTGTTAAGCTCCCAAGAAAGCTTGGTACTCATTTATATCGACTCACTGAAGAGATGAAAAGCTGAGTCAACCTTGCCTAGTCCGGGGTTTGAACCTCGGAGCTGTGGTGTGGAAGCGCGATGCATTAACCACTCAGCCACTGGGCTTCATTCGAATAAAAAGGGCGGCGTAAATATAGCTCTCACTCACTGTTGATACTGTGATTTCAAGAATAAAAAGAATCTTAGATGCGCTAATATTAGGTTGGGGAAAAAGAAATCCATTTTATTTTTTCGGTAGATGGCTGTAGTGTCGATATCTCGTGAAGTATCGATTAAACAATTTCATATTTAGGCTCATTGTCAAGGTGATATTTCACACTAAAAAAAATCGTTTGCTGTTTTTTGTTTGGTCCATTCAGTTGTGAGTTACAGGGTGTTAAAAATGGAAGTCAACAAAGAGAAAATTCGGTACGTTTTACAGTTTTTCTTTTATAAAGGCGAAAATGCAAGCCAGGTGGCTGAAATTGTAAATGGTGTTTATGGTGTCGATACCGTCACAGCTAATTACGTACAATTTTGGTTTCGTTGATTCCGTTTAGGCATTTTTGATGTTAAAGATGCACCTCGCACAGGCAGGCCCGTCGTCGAAAATGTCGATAAAATCACAGAAATAACCGAATTTGATTGGCATGTTAGTAGTCGTAGCATCGTCCAGGAGCTAAAAATAGATCATAAAACAGTTTTAAGCCATTTGAACAAAGTTGGATTCAAAAAGAAGCTCGATGTTTGGGTGCCACATCAATTAACACCAAAAAACATGATGGATCAAATTTCCATCTGCGAAGCCCTGGCCAAACGGAATTAAATCGACCCATTTCATAAACGCATGGTGATTGGGGATGAGAAATGGGTCACATACGACAATATTATGCGAAAACGATCATGGTCAAAGCGTTGTGAAGCAGCTCAAACGGTGGCCAAATCAGCGCTAACGACCAGGAAGGTTCTACTGTATATTTGGTGGGATTGGAAAGAAATAATTTATTATGAGTTATTTCCGTATGGCCAAACACTAAATTCAGTTCTCTACTGTCAACAACTAGACCGTTTGAAGCTAGCGATTGACCAGAAATGGCCAGAATTGGCCAACAGAAGAGGTGTTGTGTTCCATCAGGACAACGCCAGGCCACACTCATCTGTAGTGACTCGCCAGAAACTCTGGGAACTTGGTTCGGAAGTTTTAATGCATCCATCATATAGTCCGGACCTGGCACTAAGTGATTACCATCTTTTTCTCGCATTGCAAAACCTCCAGAGAGATAAGAAATTGGGATCAAGAGAAGATTGTGAAAATCGATTACACAAGAGTTTTTCGCCAATAAGGACCAACACTTCTATGAGAGAGGCATTATGAAGCTACCTTTATAAAGTGGCAACAAATTATACAACAAAAATGGTGCATATCTGACCCAAATCGGACAATCCAAAACATGTTAAATAAAGTCATGAATTTCATGCAAAAATAAGGAACTTCTTTTTTCCCAACCTAATATAATCACATATTTTAAAAAGCATATATATACTAAATTTATTTACCCGTCATTACACATAATTTTTCTTCATCATCTTTTCTGCATTATTACCGAAGGGAGTATTCTGCTTCGACACAAATCAAATAAATTGCTTGGATTAGAAAAAGATAGAACAAAAGAATGTTCGAAAAAAGAAAATGATTTGTATTCTCTTCAGACACCTATCCAATTAACCACCTGTGGAGTCACTAATCTCTTATTTTAACTTGCACTCGTGCTCAGTTTTGAAAGGAAATAAATCGTTTATTTGAAAAAGAATGAGAGAGGGAGTTTTAGTTTATATTTAACTACACATTATTCACAAATGTTTCACTTTTTCAAAACTGCCTAATCGGTTAATTTGACACTTTCTAATTTCGTTAACACTCAGTGTAATACATGGGAATCATACTTTTCAATCACGAGAAATGGTTAAGCCTCGGTTGATTTCTTTTAGTTCACATTCTGCGCAGGATAATTTTGTTCTCATAAAATGATCACTTGTTAATATTAATGGAAACCATTTTTTTTTCTTAAGAGTTATTCACATTTTAATTCAAAATTTTTAGTTAACTAAGATTATGTGATTTATTTAATAATAATAATTTAATTTTTAATTGTAATTTAGACTTTAATATAAATGCTATCTATACTAATTACTCAGAAGCATAGCTACCGCCGTATCAATGATACCGGCCCCCAAGCTACAGGGGCTCCAACATGTGTAACTACAGTACCACTGACAGAGCTTTCTTTTCTAAAAAAGAGCCCCGAAGGAGTTTCGATTCGGGCCCCAATCAGAACTAACTACGCCAGTGTAATTACTAGTAACTAAAAACGGTTAATTGTTCATTAACGTAACGTTTAGAAACGAAGATAAGGGCTATTGGAAAGGTATTTTGTTATTTCGTATCATGGTCACTTGTAGTTGCATCTTACTTTCTAAACTTCCACACCACGCCAACATGAGGACATTGTCTCGATATTGTCTCAATAGATTTAACATGCTGTGTGACCTCTATGTGGTGTGGTCTTACTGGTTCCGAGATTTTAACCCACGATTTGTCAGATGGAATACCGGACAGGAGAGCCTGATTACTTGTACTCAGATATTGGGATCTAAGAAGAACTGAAGACAGAAAAGATTAGTTGATTGTGTTTTTTAACGTTCTAGAGCTATTGGCGCCGGACTTCGTAAATTCGAACTATGGTCAAGTGACGAGGACGACACCCGAGCTTGAATCCCCTTTCTTAACTTCCACACCAACGGGAGGACGTTTGGGCCTCGACATATTTAAAGTGCATCGGGCCCCTCTGAACGGCGGGCCTTCAGCGGAGCAAAGCTCGAACTCATGACACGCCAGACACGAGTATGTTACGTTTACCATTAGGCTACCGCGGCCACATACTGTGTTGAGAATTTAAACAAGAAATTTCCTCACTGACTTGTTGAAAAATTGTTGAAAAGTATGATAGGAAATATTTGCCTCATTAAACTGATTCTAAAATTAAATGTGCCTGCAGCCACAGATTTTTAAAGGTACATTTAATCATTTTTTAAAGGTACTGCCCTCCGGTATCTTACACTCTCGCAATGTAGCCGGCGGGCCAAAATATTTCACTCACCCCTGTACTATATCATTCAATAATTTTTTAGCTGTGTATTTTTTAAAAAGATTTAATAATAAAAATAAGCTATTATAAAATGAATATTAACAAGTAATAAAAAAAATTAGGTCAATTTCTACTTAGGTCAACGAAGAAAATTTTTGTTTTATATATAGTTACTTTTAATTAAATAATTCCCATTAATATAAATATGTATATATATATGACAGAATCACAACATTAAGTGACAAAATAGAAAGCGATTTTCCTCACAATTTTCCATTTTCCTTTTTTACATAGGGTGTTGGACTATTATTTTTGTTTGTTACTATTTATTCGTTAACTAAATTTAATTATTCCATTAAAATAGTATATTAAAAAGAAATTACATTCTCAGAAATAAGGCCATCCCTGGTGGGATGACGACATTTGGATTAGAAGTCCAACGCGCTACCCATTGCGCTACAGGGACACAGTGAGCGATTTTCCTTTTTATATATGATGTTGGACTATTATTTTTGGTTGTTACTAAATATTCATTAATTAATATTTGAAAAAACTGTATTATCATCAAGAGTCATCCACTACAAGTTTTAAAAAAAGTGTATTTGAACTTGAGTGGATGAATAGAAAATATTTCATTAACGATTGAAAATTTGAACAAGATATATATATAGGGAGAGTGTGAAATAATAGTAGGAATTGAAAATTAAAGCTCTGCGTATTTTTTTTTCCTCATTTACCAAAAAAGTATTTTATTATTTATCGCGCTATTTTTGTTAATAAACGAATTTTATAGCCTGGAAACTGTAACTTACGAACAACTCTTTCCCGTACTTATTTTTTCTCCCCAAAACACAAAATCCTGCATATAAGGAGACTACCTCTTTAATTCATGATTTATTCCCTTTATTTATAAAAATTTCCTTACCTTTTATACTATACATTCCCGCTTCCTCATAAATTAAAAGAAAGAAACTATATATATACAGCATTTAAATTTTTTTGAGAACAAATAAAGCCAGAAAATTTTCATTAAAGTTCTGTAAATAAATAACTCCTTTGCTGTACATTTTTCGTTTTTTCTTTTTCTTTTTTTTTTTACTTTACATGTTCAAATATCTTCAGGGTGCTTTCCATATTATTTATTTTTGTGTGCCATTTACTTTAATTTATCATATTATTTCTATATTTTCTTAACTGCCCAAAGAATTATCATAAAATGGAAAGTTATGCGATGAAAAGTTTATTTATTCTTGGAATTTTTCCTTTCTAATAATTTTTGAAAGAAAGATTTGTTTTTAAAAAAAATAAGCGCATACGAAACGATGTTTCTAAAATAGAGAGATCCCCCCTCTGAGTATTTTTATGAAATAAAATAAACATTTCATAAATTTAAAAAAAGAAGGTAGAAAATAGTTTCGCATGGATTCTAATAGTTCTGTTTTATATTGTTACACACTTTCCTAGGAATGGAGATCTTAACATAAAATAATAATTTAATAAAAATTCAGAGATAAAAAAATATTTCGTTACAAGCACTGGTAAAATATGTCATAAGAAAACTGATCTATGAATCAGAGATGTGAAATTCTTTTTTGACGCTGAATTCTTCTTTCCATTGCATTTTTAAGCAAATTAACTAAAATTGCCAGAACATATATATTCCTTTTTATTATTTTATTATCATTAAAAAAGTTTGGATACAGTTTCTTTTATTTTATACTTTTTTCCTCTTACTGTCTATTTAATTTTCGAAGTAAAAGATAGTTAAATAAAAATTTTAGATGTATTTTTTGTGTAACACTTTTAAATTATACTGTTATTGTCTTATAATTACATTATATAAAAATGAAATTCCCTCAATATTTAATTGCAGAATTATGTTTTCAGCTTATATTATCAGGACTATATTTGAGGTAAATTATTTACATTTTTCATAAATTTATGAATTTATGGGGAAAAACATTTTCTTCCTCAGTAACTTTGATGGAAAATGATTTCTTTAAATTTATGTGTTACGTTATTTTTACTTATTTACTTATTTTGCAGAAAAGCGGGTGTATGTGGAATACTTATTTATGCAAATAAGTATTTTAGTATAATATTTCTATGTTTTAAAAATGAAAAAGATTGAATATTTATTAAGTACATAAATTACTCAGTATTCTTCCCAACAAAGTTAAAATTATTTCTAATAAACTGTTTATTTTTGTTCATCAGAAATTCTCCCTAAGGGTTTTTAATCTGGGTTGTTCAAAAAAAAAGGTTTCTGAAGGTTTGAAACGAAAAATTTTGAAACGAATGAATTAAATCGTAACCAAAAACATGAGTAATAATGCATTTTGCTGAAAACTAAACGAATTGATTGATTGCTTATTACAGGTTGAGTATCGCTGGAATATATGCTATTTGTAGTATGTGGAATTTGCAAAATAAACAAAAATAAAATAAATGAATTGATTATTTTTTAACGTCGTACTCAGAAGCAACAAAAGGAATATTAGCGATGGACTTCTTGATTTTGAACCATGATTATAAGTGAAGAGAATGTCATCTGAGTTGCATCCCTCCCCCTTTTTTTTTTCTTTCATACCAGAGTCAGGATTTTGAGCCTCGACAGATTTAACACATCCGTAAACCTCTCTTCATGTCGAAAAATAAAAGTAATGCTGGGAAAAAGTGACAATTTTATGATGATTTAAGCACCGTAATCAGTGGCGCATACAAAGGGTTCACGGGTCCGGACCTCTCCACCCATCTCCTTCGATTTCTTATCCGATTGATTATAATCTTATGAAAACAGTACGTACATTATAATTGTACATTATAGTACATTAATCACTTTCAGGCAAAAATTTTCCTTACTTTTAAAAAATAACTTTTGAATTTATTTTATTACATTCTTCAAGTAAATAAAATAGTTAATTTGGGGAGGAGGTAATGAGGTAATAGGTGATTTCATTGCATTAATATTACATTCACGAATTGAGAATGCGCGAATCATGCTTTTCTACATTCAAATCGGGGAGAAATATAATCAGGCGTTTAAGCGAAGGGAAATATTAGTTATTTTTAAACAATTACATAAGTGGTTTTGGGAAAAGTTTCAATCTCTCACATTAAGGATAGTATAGGCTATTAAAATTAATCTGTCAAAGCATAGCTTTTAATCCTTTTTATGCGAAAAAAATGAGACTTGTGTTTCGAAATATGACATTCGTAGTTACGATTTAGAGGAAAAAGGTATAAGATTAAAATTTTAAATTAATAGTAATTTAAGTTGTTATATACATATATATATATACTAATGATAATGGTTTTTTCGCACAGAAATCATTATATTTTAACACAAAGTATGTGTGTTTCTTGGGAAAGCACTATAAAAAGTATGTCATATGAAAAGTGGCGCACACAAGGGGGGGAGCCCTGGGGCCCACCCCCCCCCCCCAATAATCAATTTTATTAATTAATGCTAATTATTCATACAATAATTAATTTTTTGCTGTTTTTTGCTACCTATAATCCACAAAATCAAAAAGATATTTTTGGTGTCGTATTGGGTTATGATAAGAGAATTATGAACTTTCGACCCTCAGACCCCTCCTCCCCTTGAAAAACTCCTGCGTGCGCCACTGACTATGTAAATAATATGAATCATTTGTAGATGTGACTCAAAATTTGCTGTAAATGCTGGCTGGAAAGAGTGTTCAAGTAAGAAAGTAAAGATTTTCAATTCTATTTTTTGCAGTCTTATTTCTCGTTCTCAGATCTTCTCTCATTAAAAAATTACAGGAAATAGGATATTGTGTTATCAATGTATCGAAATACTGAAGACTTCTGTAGTTCATATTTTGAATGTTAACAAAGACGTTTTCAATGATTACAAAAAAAATCAGAGTTCAATCACATACCGAAAAATTAAATAAAAATGAAATGAGAAGCTCCATAATTTTACCTGCAATATTAATAGTTGCAAATGTTTTAACACAATCACCTTAATATTAGCCTACGTACAACAATATATCAACAATAATCTCATAATTTAAGGGGGATGCGAGTTCATTTTATAATATTCATAAGAACCTGTGTTAGGATCTGTTAAAAGGACAACAACCCCTCGACTACACGCTTTTTTCTCCAGTGTAGTCTGATAATTATAATTAAAGCTATGACTGTAATTGAAAATGAATCAAACTGCAACAGTTAGCAAGCTAACAAATACAGATAAAATCGCTATAATTATATGTATAGTATCAATTCGGAAACACAATTAAACATGCCAACTGATTTATAGACTAGTATAACTAGTTGCGAATTTTATCGAGCTTCCTCAAAACATAATTATATTGCTATTAGCTAAATTATAGTAATAGAAACTATTTTACGGATATGGTAGTTCGTCATAAATTTAGATTTATAGCCCGGTCGAAATGAATCAGGAAGTTGGCCTGATTCTAGAACAGCCGTTCTTAAATTGTGGTCCGCGAACCCACGGGGGTGCCCAGCACCTTTCGAGGGGGTCCGTGAAGGTCTCTCAGTTAATGTTAAGATTTCCCTCTTTAACAGACTCTGAAAAGGCTTGTGGAAAACTGAAAGATGTACCATCCTAGATTAGATCTCTAAATTGCCCCTTACAAAACAAATTCTACTAGAAAATGTATTTTGACCAAGAATATTAATTCAGTTTCTTATTATTTTCAACTATATAACCATTACTACAGTGCTTCTCAAAGTTTCAATACTTGCGACCCAATATCGAATCACAATTTTCATCGCCCCCCCTGCACATAAATATAATGTATTGAATTCTCAAAAATACTGTACTTTGATGGTTAAGCTGGAATACGACTTTAACCTCTTAAGTGCCACAGGCGTGTATAAACGTCACACTCAGCCAAAACGCTAATTTCCCGGACGTATATATACGTCTTTCCGAAGTATGATCTTTCCTCTGTACTGCTATCCATAAAATCATTCCGAAGGCTTTGGAATGCAATAATAGGACCTTGGCAGCGTGCAAAGGATTTACTTATTTCACACACACAAAGGACTTGATTACTTTTCTCTCCACCAATACACCACATGCACTCGCCTACGTGTTAAAAAACGGTGGCATTGGGGAACGAATCATGTAAGTTTTAATCGGCATTTAAGGAATAAATTATAAACCGTACAAAAAAAAAATTACAAGATAAGTGTTAATTTTTGTATATAATTTTATATATGACAAGCCCATGGGGTCACTGGTAATTGCAAAACTTGTTCTTGACTTAGTATCGTTAAATTAATTATAAATGTATCAGTACTGCACAATTTATTTTATAAGTATTTTTTATCAGTATAAATTTTTATTTTATTTTTTATTATGTAGTAAGAATGTATTTCGTTCACTAACTTTCTGTAAAGTAATAATTTGTTTCAAAATATTATCTTGTTTTCGATTTTTCAATATGCTCACGCCCCCCTCCT